TCCACTGTCCAGAGGTCGGGAGGTCCGGGCCCCAAACGCCACTCACCCCCTGTGTCGAGTTCAGGAAAGTCACTTCACCGTCCAGGCCTCGGTCCAGGCAGCTGTGAGATGGGCCAACTGGATGTGGTTCCACTCACAGAGCATCAGGGCGGGGTCGCCCTGGGCATGGGGTCCAGGCATTGTGCTGACCTGGCTGCTCAGGTCTGACCCCACCCAGCTGCTCCAAGCGCATCGTGAGTTTGTATCGAAGTGACAGACGAACACAATTTGAAAAGTCCTAAATAAACTACAGGTCAAGTCATGAAAAACCACAGACCCCCCCCTCCTCCAGCCTCATCCCCGTTCCCGCAGCAAAGACCCAGAGAAAGTCACTTCCCGTAAGTTTCCCCGGGTGTGTCGTGCTTTATTTTTGTGTGACCTCTGAGTTTCTAAACAACAGCCTTCTGTTACAACTTTTTATTTTTAAGTTTGACACGGTATCTGTCAACCTTCTACCCGGAGGAGGGGGTTTAGTTCTCGTACAACGTTCTACCCCTTGGAAACCCTCCCTCCGATTCGGTTATGACCTTCCTGGAAAGACAGCGCTGATCGCTTATGTCTGTGAACACCACTCACAGCTGAGCCGCCAACACCCTGATCGCTTCTCTCCCTCCTGAAACTCTGCTCCGCCTGGACAGAGCGTGCTGTCCGTCTGCCCACATCCTGGCAGGTGCTTATTGCTGGCTGAGCTGCTGTCCCTTCCACAGAGACAGCGGGTCCCTCTCTCTTCCTTGGGGAGCCTGGGGGGCGTGGTGTCCCCATCATCATCCCGCTGGGCACCTCCCTCTTCCCAGTTTCTTCTTTTTTTTGGTTTTCTCCCTAGTCGGGTGGCACACACCCCCGACACATCCCCGGGGCCCCGGGCTGCCTTTAGGGTCTGTTTGCTCTGTCTGAGCTCCCCCTCACCCGGTGCCCACGGGCCTCTCGGCGAGTGGTCAGCACAGTGAAGGAATCGCTCCACCATCGCTGTCAATGACGTCCCAGCTCTCGGGCCTTTGCAAGTGTTTTCCTGGGTGCTGCAGGCGATGAGCATCTTCTTTCCACCTGACGGTCTTGATGAAAATAATAAGAATTACAAGAAGGTTTCACATATTGCAGTGTATGGGGAGGCCATTCTGGTTTAAATCTGATTTGGCTGGAAACTTGTTTTTCCCAGAGCAGCCTGACTTATGGCCCAGCGAATGTGCCTTGTGCATCTGCTTCCAACATTTTCCCAAAGCAAAGACGCTCTCTTTAAAGATGGGGATGCACATGTCCCTCTCTCTGACACCGACACCACTGTTTCTTTGGAGACAAGCTTTTCTTTCCAGAGAACTGAGGTTGAGTTGACCTGCTGTGTATGTGCTAAACTGCAGGAAAACATCTCCTGCGACTTTGGGAGAAAAAATTGTATTCCTGTCATGCTTGCTGTGTGTTCTTTGTTCCGACACAGTAATAACCGTGCCGTCAGCCACGCTTCCCTGGGGCAGGGAGCACTTCCGGGCTGGTGCTCACGTTGGCTCAATGAGCATCACTCCGTCTTTCTCGTCTGTAGATGGGTTATTGCTCATCTGCATCCGTAGTCTCTTCCTGACCAGGCCTTAGTCCTTGGAACCCTCATCCCAGCTGGGCCTTGACTTTTGACCTTCGAGTCCAGCTGTCCACGGCCCAGTTTTAGCAAGAATCCTGTTAGGTCAGTTTAATGAGAACCCCGCACCCTCGACACCTGACCGGGATCCTCACCCTCCACCTCCAGGTGATGTCTGACCTCTGACCTGCCTTGACCAATTGTCCTCCCAGGTTGGTTTCACCAGAACTCCTGGACCCTGAGGTCTCCTCTTAGTAAGTCCACCTGCTGACCCACTGGCTCCTTGGCTGTAAACCCCTTTTCCATTCGGAACTGAGCCTGGTTCTACATGGAGCCCTCTTGTCTCCTCCTCAGTAGTCCTGGATGAGCCTGTTCCTACTGCTTCAGCCTCCTTCTGGCTCTGGTTTGTCTCTGATGTGTCCGCAGAGCTCTGCTTCCTCAGCTGCTGGGCCTGTGAAGGGCGGCGGGTGGGCCCCCACATGTGCCTCTTTGGCGTAAGGATTATCTTGAGAAATGGCAGACACAGGGGCAGCTGTGAGCAGAAGTGGCCTTTTCGTGAGGGACATTTGCATCCACGAGGGACGTCTCCGTGGGCCAGGTGTCCCCTCTCTGTACGGGCAGGAGAGGAGGCACCAGATGACAAGTCCCTCCTCCAGGGCGATGGCTGGGACTGAGATCTGCAGAACCGGCCCCTCGTCCACTGTGCTTTTCCTGGCCACACGGCCGCCCCCAGTCCTTCCCGCTTTGTCTTCAGCTCAGGAAATTCCAAGGGACTTTGGAGCTCTGTGTGGGGACCGGGGACAAAGAGCACATGCACATTCCTTGTGAGGCCACGGTGGCCACGTCAGAACACTGCAGACGAGGGTGAACAAGAGCTTTATTCTCTCAGTCCTGGGAGCTGGACGCCTGGGATTGCATTTCCGGCAGGACTGGTTTGGGGTGGGTCTCTGTTTCTGGCTTGTGGACGGCCTTCTTCTCCCCGTGTCCCCACATAGCCTTTCCTCTTCTTATAGGAACACAGTCCTGTGGGATCAGGGCTGCCCTCACGACCTCATTTAACCCTAGTCACCTCCCCAAATGTGGTCACTCTGGGGTCGGGGCCTCGACCTGTGAGTTTATCCACAACCCCCTCCCATGTGGCCCGCCTAATGTCCCCTCAGTCCCTCTGTCCCCTCGCTGTCCCATTGCTGTTGCAGTGTCTAATTTGTGACCTATTTATGAGTTTATTGTGTGTCTCTGTCACTGCCCTGCAAACCTCTGCTGATGTCCTGGTCACCGCTGTACCCCAGCCTAGGACATGACAGATGCCCAGTGAGTCTGCTGGACCAAAGGGTGAGTGGATAGAGGGCCGTGGGAGGCAGCAGCGAGTGGCCTCTCTGAGCCTCAGATTCCTTGGACTTCTAGGCCGTGTGGCCTGGGAGGTGCCTGGTGCCAGGAGCCTAGCTCAAGGGCGTGAGGCCAGCACTCCCTTTTCCCCAGGCAGCCTGGGAGGTCAGATGCACCATCCGAGGCATGGGGCTGGCTGCTCCCCTATGCGCACACTGGGCTGCCATCGCCAGCTTTGGACCTGGGGCTGTACCTCTGCCTGTCTCACAGTGCTGGGTCTGTGGAGACGAGGCTGGGCACTCACCTCCTCCTCCCTCCTCTGCAGGCACGGGGCAGTCGGGGCCCCGGCAGGGTGACTGCGGGCAGAGTGGGGCGTAGGGGCGAGGAGAGCTGATCTGGGTGTGTTGTGGAGCTAGAAGTGCAAACGTGCCCTGGAGTCAGTGGAAATGGAGCCAGGGGACTCAGCCGGGCTGAGCGGGGACAGCACCGGGCAGGACAGCGGGGCAGGCTCTGGGGCCACTTGTTACCCCCTACTTATTTCCTTTGCAGGGTCTTCGCGGCCTGAGTTCTCCCATTGTGAGCCTGTGTTACCCTGAGCTCGGCCCTGGGCAGGGACCAGGGTCTGGGTGCGGCCTCTGCACCTCGACTGCGTGTCCTTCTGGGAACCTGACTGACTTCCGGGAAGAGGGAGTCACTCTGGCTGAGCGTCAGTTTTCCCATCTGTCAAACAAGGAAAATAAAATCGACCCTGCAGTTTTGCTTTGAGACCAGTAGTGATTCACGCTGACACTTTGCGAGGTGCCAGAGCACAGGGACCTGTCACTGAACTACTGCTGGTGTCCTGTGCAGGGTGAGAGCCCCGTGGGGTAACAGATGAGGAAATGAGGCACAGGGGCCACGATTTCCATGCTCCCTGCTCCCGGGATTCTCTCTCCAGAGCACAGAGTTTGTGTCAGCCTCAGCGGCACACTCTCCTCCAGTGCCCCCGACTAGTCACATGGCCAAAACCGCAGCACACACAGGAGACACTAGAGTGGACTTCAGGCTCCAGGGCAAGAGTGGGGGATGCCTTTGGTTGGGGGCTGGATCTCAAGCCAGCCTTGGCTCAAGACAGCCCGTGCTTGCCATCCAGCCATGCTGTCCTGGCTTCTGCTGGGTAAACACGGGGTGCCCACCGATGCCACAGCCATGTAGACTTGATGTTGCCCTCTGGGGCCTTCACCAGCCCTCTCAGAGCCAGCCACATCGGGAGGGAACAGGGGCTGCCCCGCCTCCCCCACGGCTGCCGTCCCTTTGGAGAGCTCAGGTCTTGCTCCAGGCCCTCCTTCCAGCCCCAGGCACGGCCACCCTGGGGCACCTCGAAAGCCGGGGCCAGGGGCGAGAGGGACCCAGCGAGGCCCCAACACATTTGCTGTCTCTTTATTGCACTTTTACCACATTCCAAACTATTCCACAAAAACGCTGCCAAGGAAAGCCTACTCTGCCCGCGGGCACCCAGGACGTGTTTACAACCCCCACCCAGGGCTCGGTCAGAAGACACGGCCCCTCTGCTGAGAGTCTGGGCTACCGCGGGCACCGAGGAATGGAATGACCGGTTGTTACGTCACTCTGAGCCACACAAGACCAAGTCCATCAGGAGCCTCCTGCGTCTCGGATGAGACTCAGCCCTCGAGGTGCGGGGCCCTGGGGGCCCCCGGGAAGGGAGAAGAAAAAGTTTTTATTTCAAGTTGGGTCCAGAGGCGAGAAGGCTTTGCTTCGCGGGAGAATCTGGCAGAGGCCGAGCCAGGGGCCGTCCTTGTGAATTCGGTGGGTGGTCTGGGGTCTGTGTCAACGGCTGTCTATTTATATACATTTACACCATGTATAAATACAAAACAGTAAATAAAGTCTTCCTTTCCGTACAAAAGGGGGGTCGCCCGCCGCCAGGCCGCCTCTGTCCATGAGCACAAGCCGCCTCCCAGCCTTTTCTGGTCTCGAAAACGAGTAAACCGTGTCCTGTTGGACCCACCGCCGGGGGGCTCACGTTCCCCGACTCGGGAGCAGCCCGTCCGGTCTGAATTCGCTGGATTCGCGGCGTGCGCGGGTGTCCCTCCTCAGCAGCAGGCCGGCGGCTCGCGGTCACTACCTCCGGGTGGAGACTCTGTGCTCGGGGTCCAGGTCGTCCTCCACCACGCTGGGCAGCCCGTCCTTCTCCACGCAGTCCCTGACGGCCTGCAGCACGATGCGCAGCCGCCGGTCCAGGGCCTCCAGGTGCGGCTGGTACAGGATGGGGGCCACCCGGTCCTCCCGCAGGGACTCGGCCATCAGCAGGCTCAGCTTGTACTCCTCCTTGGCCAGGAGCTGCAGCCGCAGGTAGGTGGACTTCCTGATCCTGCGGGGGACAGAGAGGTCAGCCCTGGCTCGAGGGAGAAGGTGTGCAGCTGTCGGGAACTGGGAGCGGGGACGGGCCAGGATCAAGGGCTTCCTCAGGGGCACCCAGGAGGGTCCCGCCTTGCAGGACAGGTGGCCCGGGCGAGGCCCAGTGGTGCCAGCAGGCCCCCATTATTCCAGGCAGACAGAGGGCGGGGATGGGAAGGCTCTGCCTAGTCTGTGGCTGTGGCAGCATTTCCCCTCTGACGGCGACAGGCCAGGGCCCCAGGAGGGCAGCGGGCAGGGCCGTACCTGCAGCACTGCTGTAAAGGCACCAGAATGGAAAGCTCATCATGGGAATATTTTCCAAACCTGCAGAAGAAAAGCAGAATCATCGGGGATCACACGAGGGGGACACCTATGTAGAGGCTGCAACACAGGCTTCTTACAGGGGGCCAGGGCATGGGGAGAGTGGTAGCTTGTGGGTAGCCTGTGGGGCTGCGAGGGCTGTGGAGGCCAGGGAGTGTGTCCCCAGCGCCCTGGGCATTGTGGCCTGAACCCTCCTGTCCCCAGCACCCTGGGCAGTGTGTCCTGGCCCCTGCTGTCCCCAGCCCCGGACACAGGGCCTGGGACAAGGAAGGCCCTGAAAGCAGCCTGGCATTCTGGCCACTGGACGGGACAGAAGCTTCTAAGTGAAGAGTCCCAGGCGGCTGAGTGGGGCAGGTGTGAGGGCCGGTCAGGCTGGGTTCTGGCCGCAGTGGCCTGTTTTAGAGCCGGGAACAAGTGACCCACACATGAGAACTGTCCAGGTGCCCAAAGCTGGTTCCTCTGGGGCGTCCGAGCAGTTGCAGCTTTAATGGTCTTGAAACAGGGGTCCCCTGCACGCAGCCCCACCTCCCCACCGTGTTCACTCTCCCGGGTGGCCCAGGACTGCCCAGTGGCCGGCCAGCAGCGGCTGCAGGCCCTCCTGATGGGGCAGGGGAGCCGTGTGTCCCTGCTGGCCTGTCCCAGCAGCCTCTCTGGGCCTCAGTTTCCCCAGGGCAACATGAAGATATGATAAGACCCCAGTCACAGGGTTACTGTGGAATTAGGTGAAATAACATCATAAACCCTCCCCGCCAACGGGGCCTGTTTACCACCCCAGTTGGAGGCCAGGGCCACGTCTGCGTCACACACAGTGTGCGTGTGGGAACGGCCACATCCCTCCCACCGACAGCCGTTCCTCCCGGGTCCAGACAGGTGAGGATTCGGGGCTCACCCTCTTCCGTTGTCTAAGTGGATAAGAAATGTCTCGTTCCCAAACTTCTCAAAAGTCTCGTAGTGATGGCGGTCCATGTTTCCTGCGGAGAGAAGCAGAGCCAGCTGTGGCTTCCGGAAATCTGCGTGCAGCTCAGACTCGCCCTCCCTCCCTCCCTCCCGCATCTGACCTCTGAGCCGTAAGGACAAGAACAAGCAGGATCCCGGGCCCCCCCCTTCAAACCATGGCCTCAGCTGGGCTCCCGCTGCTCAGCTTTAAACACCCGCTCTGGGCCGGCATCGGGTCGAGGCCTGCCGGACGCACCCATGAGGAAGTCGAAAATGGTCATGTCCATGATGTCCAGGATGCGGTGGCTGCTGTCGTAGGGGGGGGTCTGCTTCACCTCTTCGCAGTAGTCGGGGTCCACCTCCCACCTGCAAGGGATCAATCCAGCGTGAGAAGGCTGTGTCCTCTTCTACGTGGACAGGGAGGCCCAAACCCACGTCTGGGGCTGCCCAGCTTGGAACAGTGGGATCGACACTGCAGCAAGGACTGGGGTTGGAGAAAAGGTCTCACCATGGAACAAACTGTCTGCAGATGGACACACACCTGCCATGGGTTGAGAATGCATTAACAGGAGTAGGAGCTGGGAGGTGATCAAGCCGCGTGCCCTGCCCTGGACTAACCACGCCTGGAGGCTACTGCCAGCCCCAGATGCCAGGTTTTTGGACGGTCACTGTTAAAGACCAGGGCTGGATGCCACACTCATGAGGACGTCTCATGGCTGCAAGCACGGGCAACGTGTCTCTCGGACGAGGGACAAGAAGGGCAGGGAGCGAAAGTGTGTTCAGACACTGAGAGGCTGTGTTTCTGGAGACCCCTGGGGGCGAAAGGAGTCGTCCTTCCCGTGCCGGGGTCAGGCAGAGCTGGGTCTGCCTCCTTCTCCGCCACTCCCTGCACCCGTGTGGCCACTGACACCCAAGACCCCTCTGGGCTTGTTTCCCGGCCACAGAAGCCAGCCCTTCCAGCCCCTGAGGGTCAGAGTGGGCAGGACGCCCCCACGCAGCTCACTCACTCCGCCTTCTTGCGCTTGTGGTACGAACGCCGCCAGGGGTTGCGCCACGTCTTCCTCTTGGCCAGCGACAGGTCCGGCAGGAAGGCCGCCAGCGAGCCCTCGATCTGGTCCGGCTTCCCGCACAGCGCATGCTCCGTGGAGCAGTAGTAGGAACACTCCCCGTAGAAGCAGATGTTGTTGGCTGGCGGCAGAAGGACAAGCCTGTTAACATCCCCACACGCCAGCCCCTCCCTGGGATGTCAGTCCTAGGCCTGCGTCCACAAGTGGCATCCACGGTCCCCCAGGTGATGCCCAGCCTCCCCCACACCTCTTCAGGAGGCCCCCCTCCACTCTCACATTCCATCTCAACTCTGCGTTAGCGAAAACAGAGACCCAGAGAGGGGAGCCCACCTGCCCAAGGCCACACAGTGGGGGAGTTACGTTAGGATCTGAACCCCAGTTCTTCCTAGTCACCCTCAAAATTAAGGGACTGGAGTCCATGGACATTCTAGAGTCAATATTCAATGGCTTAAACAAGACATTCATCCTATGAAGAGAATCCACAGAGTGGGAGAAAGTGTCTGCAAACCGTATATCTGATAAGCAACTAGTATTTAGTACATATAAATAACTCTCACGACTCAATAATAAAAAGACAAATAACCCAATTAATAAATGGGCCAAGGAATTCAACGGATATTTCTCCAAAGAAAATCTATAAATGGTCAACAAAGACATGAAAAGATGCTCAACATCATTAGTCATCGGGGAAATGCAGATGGATCTACAAGGAGATGCCGTTTCTCACTCGCTCCGATGGTTCTGATCAAAAGAGCAGATGGTAACAGGTGTTGATGGGGGCGGAGAAACTGGAACCCTCACACAGTGCTGGGGGGAACATAAACAGTGCAGCCGCTGTGCAAAACAGTCTCGTGGATCCTCAAAAAGCTAGACACAGAATTCCCACATGATCCAGCAATTCCTCTTCTAGGCACACGCCCAAGAGAAACGAAAACACGTCTACACAGAAACTGTACTAAATGTTCACGGCAGCTGAGTCACAATGGTCAGAGCGGAAACAACCCAAGTGTCCATGGAGTGATGAATGGACGAAGACACTGTGGTACATCCATAAAACGGAACGTTATTTAACCTGAAAAGGAATGAAGCACTGACACTGGCTACATCGTGGACGAACTGTGAAAACACGATGCTTAGGGAGCAAAGCCAGACACGAAATGCACATGCTGTGTGATTCCATTTATACGAAATGCCCAGAACAGGCAAATCCATACAGAAATATCAGTGGCTGCCAGGGGCTGGGGGAACGGAGAACTGGGGGTGACTGTTCACAGGGACGGGGTTTCTTTTTGGGGTGAGAAAAATGCTCTGGAATTAGGTAGTGGCGATGCTGAACAACGTTGTGAATGTGGTAAAAACCACTCAACTGTACACTTCAAAACGATGAGTTTTACGATATGTGATTATATCTCAATAAAAAGAGTCATTTAGACAGTGCGCGCCGTGCTGCCCGGCCGGCTAGCGAGCCCGGTTCACGACTTTATTGCCGGAGGCCCGGGCTGCTTTCGCCTGCGGATCAGGGCCCGATGGGCAGCCCTGCTTGTGTGTGTATTTACTGACGGAATCCCTGTCCTCACGTTTAATTACTTTATTTGTAATTTGTAATTTCTACACCCTCAAGGGCCTGGGGTGTAGAAATAAGGGAGCCGGAGCCCCAAGCACCACTCGAGAGCCCCTCCCATCTGTGCAGACGGCCGGTTTCCCAGACCAGGGTCCCCTCCTCTCCTGCCGGAGCACGTCCCGGCCGAGTGAGATTCGGGACACAGTCTCCATCACAGCCCCGTGGAATCAAATACAAGCTCGGCAGGGCGTGTCTACACGATGCAGAGTCACAGCAGCCCAGGCACCAAGCGGCCAGTCCAGGCCACGCCCTCCTTAAACTGAGGTCCAGCAGGGATGGGAGCCAGCGCGGGCGGCTTCCACACCCTCCGGGCAGTCCTAGGCTGGACCACCTGCCTCTTCTGCCACCCCTGATGATCCCAGAGCCATGGTTGGATGATCACCGTAGGAACTATGGAAGAAAGCCCGGTCTGTGATTGCGTCTGCATGTCAATACCGTTGAATCAGCCACAGCCTGAATCAGCCACAGCCGCACGACAGGCCTCGACCAGGCGACCAGGCAGCGGCTCCATCTTCAGGAGGAAGATCTTTATCCTCCTCACCCGGGGAGCCTGGAGCTTGTCAGTCCAAGGGGCTAAGCCGGTGTTAGGTGGATTCTTGTCAGAACAGAAAGGCCTTTCATGGGCCACAGCTTTTCTTCCTCGGAGATCAAATCCGGTTTCTGAAGGGACCCCCAGGATGGGGCTCTGATGGCCAAGGGTCTGTCTCACTTAGGCGAGGCCCTCACCTCCTCCTGCCTCAGTTTCCTCGTCTGGAATGAGGGCCACAGCGGCGCCTGCTTCACAGCTGAACAAGGTGACCCAGGTGGAGTAGAGGACTTGTCCCGAGTGGGCCCGTCAAGGTTGTGAGGTTGATCCCCTGTGCCTGGAGGAGTGGGCGGGGAGGAGGGAGTGCTGGTCCCTTTTCATCTTAGAACTAACAATCGGGACGCACAGCGGCAGGAGAAAGCAGGGAACCTGCCCTCTGGGTACTCGGGGTCACCTCCTCCAGCCGCCTGAGAACTGGTGCAGACAGGCTGCCCCGAGGGGGAAGCCTAGTCCCCACGGGCCAGCACGTGGCATCAAGAGGGTCCCTCCACCCGTGGGCCTGAGTATAGAGACCAGGTCCTTCTTTGAAGGTTCAGGGTTCATCCACAGGGAGAGGGGTCTGGAGAACAGGACATCTGCCGTCCTCACCTGAGCTGGGTGGTTGCAGAGTGCGGGCGGCTGTGTCACATGAGGCTGGAACGCCAGGAGTCCCCATTATCCAGGAGTGGCCTGAAGATGCCTGGGCACAGTGCTGGGAACCCCTTGCCCTCAATGGGCATTTAAACTGGACACATGTCCACAGCATGTGGACAGAGTCCCGATGACCAGCCAGCCAGAGCCAGGCCAACATGGCAGGAAAAGCCCATTTGAAGACGCGGGTCTGCATGTCTGGAGAGGCTGGGCAGGGGAGCTGGAGCTGCTCGTGGTCTTGTCTCGTCCTGGAGAAGTTCACACAGGTGGGGCCCCTACAAGGGAGCCCACGAGCCCAGAGCCGTGCATGGATGACACGCAACTTTCAGGATGCATGAGACACGTCGGTAGCAATTTACTAAAAACATATGAGAAACATGTTCTGTGAACGTTTGGAGCCCAGAAGCCTTGGGTTCTGACAGGCCTGTGTCTACGCCGCTGCCCCCATGAAGGCAACTTCCACCGTCCATCCTGACACGTCTTGAGCTCACCCTCGCCGCCCCTTCCAGGTCACCCATCTTCCCGCCAGCTGAGAGCCGCCTCCACCTCTCCTGCATCCGGTGCCCGCTCCCCGGCTGGCCGCACAGATTTTTCTGTTTTTCGACTGACCCCAGAGCAGAGCTTCTCGGGCCCCTGGAGGCAGAATGGTCGTCTGCCTGGACTAAAGTCTTCTCCCACGCGCTCCCGGCTCTCAGCAAAGCCTGGCATCCGTGGCGTTTTGGCATCGGTGGGCCCGGAAGTGTAGGCGAAGCAGGAATGCTATGAAGGAATCTGAACAGACTTTGTTTCCTAAAATGAGATCAAAGCTGGCTCCCGTCATCCCACAGCTATAGAGAAAACCAAACGTTCCCAAGGCTTCCAGGAAGAAATCTGGCTGACGGAGCTGGGCGTGGGGACGGAGATGGGCTGGGGACAGAAGCTGCATGTCAGAAGCTGCCACGAAGCCAAGCCCTACACCACGCATCAAGCCACGCTGTGGCAGCGTCCCATATACAAAACAGAGGAAGACTGGCACAGATGGTAGCTCAGGGACAGTCTTCCTCACCAAAAAAAAAAAAAAAAAAAAATTGCAGAAAGAAATGGACAAACAGCAGCTACACAGCCTGGTGGCAAACCCAGACACGGGGTCCCCTGGGCGTGGCCCACCTGGACTCTGAGTGGCCGTCACTGTGGGTGGCAGCGGAGGTGCCAGGACATCTAAGTTGGAGGGGAGATCACAGGAGGAGTCCCTGATGGGCTGAGGTGGAAGAGGAGCTCGGACGTCTGGGGGATTCCAGCAGAAAGCCCCAGAACCTGAGGTCAGGGAGGAAGGTTTCAGGCCTTTGAGAAAAGGGACCCTTCTAACAGCTCAGGCTGTAAAAAAGGAACTGAATTATCTGTGAGCGATGAGCTCCCCGTCACGGGGAGTATGCAAGCTGTGGCTGCAGGCAGACTCAGGCAAGGCCAATGGAGAAGTCCTCAAAGATCCCTCCCGACCACAGGCGCTTTCTCGGCCCTTTGATTTCTGGTCACGTGGGCGAGACACCGACGACGAAATGGAAACAGTCCTCCTGCCTCATGGGGGGTTTCTGCCCTACTTTTCCCTTATTCATGGGCTCTGAGAGGAGGAACCTGTGAGGATCTCAGCATGCACTGGATGGCAAAAATGGAGCTTAATTAGATTATGGCCTCATGCACCTCAATTCTGAAAATTTATGAATGCAGCTGAGAAAATGTGCAGAGCGTGTCAGGCTGGACATCCACAAGAAGTGGATCTCAGGTGGGCTCTCATGCGCCAGCAGATCCTCAGACGCGGCCGACCCGGGGCCTCACGTGGATTTCATCTGCGTGAACCGGCAGAGGAGGGTACCACGTGTGGCTGAGGCAGCCCTGCAGGAGGGTTTCTGTCCCAAGGTGGGGCCCACGCCCTGTGGGGTCCTGTGATGGAGCTGGTCGCTCGGTTCCGCTTGGCCAGCATCGCTGGGACCTCTCAAGATTCCAAGAATGGAATCTAAGTGACAAAGTCCTGGATGTGGAAGGAGGTTCCCCCCAACCCCAGGAACAGCCCAGTGCAGGACCAGGCCCAAAAATAAGTGCTTGGGGAGGAGGGATGGGCCCATCACAGGGTCTCAAAGGCCAGACCTGAAACAACCTGGGGCAGGAAGTTCAGTGGGTTCTGACTTTGGTTGATGTGCCTTTAAGATTTTAATATGAAGTCTTGAAGGTTTTTATGAAGGTCAGCACCTCAGCAGACACACAATCTACACGTGGAGCATGCAGGGCACCCGGGGATGCAGGGCACCGTGCCGCCCCCTGAGGGCACTGGGTGAAGCCCCCGCTCCACTCCCTGCCAAGTCGAGGAAGGGGAGGCGGCCGGCCCCTTGTCACCACATGAGGGTCTTGTTGGGTGTTTTTAAATTTAGGGGAAAGTTCAGAGAACGGAGGTCTCTTCTGGTTGGACCAGCTGGAGAAGACTTCCCAGAGACACTGGGGGTTTTCAAAAATGGATTCATTTTGCCTTTTCAAACAAAGGTAGAAATAATCTCTCCACCCAGCCCAGGGGATGGGTTAAATAACGACGGCATGCCCATTTTTGGCAGCCTTTTAAAATCATGATGTTGATGGACGCACCTCGATGTGGAAGGGCAGACGGCGTGTGGTCAAGTCAAGACGGCGGCTGAAGAACAGCATTACACACGATTTCTTTTTCACTAAAACATCACTAAGCTCGCGGTCTCTGTGCAGTAGGCCAGGTGAGGGCAGCCCCCCAGGGCAGGCGAGTTACCTGGAGAGATGAAGAAGGTCCTCCACAGCTTCTTGTCCCGTGTGACGTCCCGGATCTCCTTGGTCATGTTAACCATCCTGCCAGCCACGGGCGGGACCCGGCGGAAGTCCAGGATCCTGGGAGGAGGGACAGGGAGAGGAGGCTTTATCTCTGTGCCCCCCGCCCGCTCTGGGCTGGAGCTGAATGAATGGGTCCCCCTCTGCCTTCCTCTAGGCCCAACTCCGGGGTCATGACTCTGCCTGGTGCCCTCGGTGACCGGCGGAAACGGACTGAGGTTGGCGGTGCTTCGATTACCCGGCGTCCGCCCTGCCAAGTGCCCGGGCCACTAGAACATGCCCTCATTTCAGGGCTGAGTTTAAAACAAAATTAAGTTAAATTAACCACTTTCCATGGGACTCTTTCTGAACCACACTGCACACGTCACCACTCGCCTCACCACGTGGAGAGCCCTGGATGAGAGCTTTCCCAGGTGACACGGGATGTCGTGACGTCCTCTGTGGGGAGGTGGCCAGGCGTGGAGGAATGCAGACCGTCCAGATAGGACTGGCCGCGCCCCTCATTCCACTCCTCCTGTCAGCGGGCACACCCGGCCTCCCGTCCTGTTATAAACAAGTTCACCTTCCTCCTAATGAGTAACCTGCACCGGCTCGGTGGAACTATTCTTGTTTTCACAGAAAGGCCCTTTTCTGTGTTCAGGCTGTTCTAAATAGTTGAAATTGTTGAAATCTGACTTGGGGATTTCTGCAGCCACCACATAAGATTTTCGATTGTTAAAAAAGCAGGACTTGCCAATTTCAGTGTGCACATGGGTCACCTGGGATCTTATTAAAATGCAGGTTCTGCTCCATAGGTCTGGGGAAGACCTGGGGCTCTGCATTCTAAGCAGCCTGGGTGACACGATGCTGTGGGCCCCGGGCCAAACCCCGAGCACCGTGCGTCACCCACTGTCAGGTCAGGGCCCTGCCATGCAGACGGGGAGGACCCGGGGAGCCAAGTGGGGGGGTCTCCCAATGCACTGGACCCTGGGAACTGACCCCAGAGCCAGGCCCATGAACTGCTCCAGAGAGCACAGGACTCTGAGCAAGCCCAGGGCTGCTGAGGAGTCCACCCCACACAGCCACACGTCAGCCACCTGTCCAGTTCCCCAGTAGCGAGAGGCCACACGGGGGGGACAGTTTGTCAAGACTCGTGTCCCTCGGTCTCGCTGTGGCCCCCAGGGGAGTTGGCACCTGCAATTCTCTGTGTTAGCGCTCCCTCCCTCTTTCCTTTATCCCCATGGTCCACCAGTCCACCCCTGGGTCAGCAGCCACTCCTGGGATCTCCCACTGGGCACTGTGGGTGCAGGCCCACTGCCGGGCACGTCCAGGTTATGACACCATGAGGCGGGGATCATCTCTGCGTTGGAGGCGTGGGCTGTGGGTAAACCAGCTGGTCTCCTCTGTGCATGGGGACCACGTTAGGACCCCCAGGGTAAGGGCCGAGGACCACTCATGCAGTGCTCAGACCCAGCAACCGCACTCCTGGGGAGGCTGCGGCGGGGGCTCACCTGTCCAGGTGGAAGGCCGCGATCTCTGCATTGTGCCTCTCGTAGTCAGAGAAATAGAAGAAGTCAGGGGGCGTCTCCTGCTCCCTCGTTTGTCTGGACAAAATGGGACAAAATGGAGAGAGTTTATCACCGAGGAACCGTCCAGCGGAGGACGTGCGTGGCTCGAACCCACTCTCGAGAGCTGACTGTTAAATTCCCGAGAATTTCGCAGACTGGCTGTTAAACACGTGCACCATTAAAAATTAAATTATTCAAACTTACAATTAACGAAGTTACATTTAAAAAGTAATGACTACGTTAATCTAATCCCTTCCCAGTTATCTGACATTTCACCATTTGCTCTGCTCTAGAGGCCGCTGGCGTCCCTCACATCTGCAGGGTGGACACGCTACGTAACAGGGCTGCGTTTCTCCCTAACTCCACCTGCAGTGGCCTCGTGGTGAGGCCGGAAATCAGCCACGGGGAGGTATTTGCGCTGCAGAAATCAGCAAACTCCACGAATCAGGCTTTGCCCCGACGGGGAGCTGGTTACAAATGCTGATCAGCCCACCGTTGTCCACAGCTCCAGCCAAACACAGGTTCTCCCAAAAGGACGATGGCAGAAGGTGGCCTCTGCGCCCAGCAGTCTGGCTGACGCGGGCAGGGAGCGCGTGGACGGCAAAGGGGCCACGGGCACAGAGGAATCTCCCTACACGGGACGAGGCCGACTCTCCGGGGTGTGAGCCGGGGCCACGGTCAGGCTGGACAAACGGTCCCTTAGCCTGCTCTCTGCCGCCCGTCGGCTCCCTGGACAGGGGGTCCCCTGGGGGACGTCAGGGAGGCCGGGAGCCTTTTTGGGGCCCCTGGGGGACCCCTTCCTGAAGTCCACAGAGGGGATCTAGTTTTCAGGGTCCCCCAGGAGGTCCTGGCACTTAGGACTCACAGTCCGCCTCCTCCGTGCCCCGCGGCAGCTCCCTCTGCCTGTCCCACCTCCCCGAGCTGAGTCAACACCGTCTGCTGCTCCCCAAGCTCGTCTCCTGTCCTCCACTCTGTGAACACTTTGCTCACACTGTTCCATTTTCCTGGAATGACTTTCCCTTCGTGTCACCCCGTGGCTAAGTCGTCATTAACGCATCCCACCCACCCAGGCCTAGGGGCTTCCACACAAAAGGAGCCCTCGGTCATTGAGGTTCGGAGTATGGGTAACGGTGCTTACCGGAGCATCATATGGGGTGTCAACAGTGCACATTAGCACCGTTAAGGCTCTGACAAGGCCTGCAGCCACTCTGTTTCTCAGCCCAACACCGAGGGACCATTTTGTTCAGAGCACGTCACCACGCTCCACACTTTTAACAACAGCTGGTTTAAGCTCTTGACCCCCTGTCAAAAGCAAACTCCTTCACAAAGCCCTCCTGATGCCACAGCGATGATGAGCCCTGCTAGTCCCGGGCCCTCCTGGCCTGGAGAGCAAACAGAAGGCTCTGTTTGGAGCAGGGATGTGCTCCGCCTATGACAGCAGCCTCGGAGCCAGAGCCGGGCCCCCAGCTACTCCCACCGGGCTGGCCGCCCCGCCTCCGTGGCCGAGTGAGTGAGCCCTGTGGCCGCAGCCTCTGGCCAGCTGTCTATGTAGCCTGCACAGCCCCGTCTCCCGGCCTCCACGCCTCCCCTGGGGGGCATGCACCGAGGAATCCCGGACCCCCTGGCTCTGACATCTGCACCCACGGTGAGCTGCAGACAGCCCAGAAGGAGTGTCGTTCACCCCTCAGTCCCGGCCATGGGACAGGAAGCCACGTGCAGGGTGCATGTCATTCTGTAAACACCGGTGCTTAACAGATGCCTGGGAACCGGGGACACGCAGTGACTGCAGGTGACCTCACCCACCTGTTTGCCTCGTGTCCAAGATCGTGTGAGAGCAAACACGCTCCCTCGTGGAACCAGGTCCCTTCCTCACCCCTGCCTCCACCTGTCGAGGGGAAATTGGCCCAGGAGGCCCCTCCTAGGCCAGGCCCAGGAAGGGAACTCAACTCTCAACCTAAGAAGAATTTACCAAATGCTGGAGACCTTCCCCACACTGGAAAACGCAGAACAGGTGTGAATCGTGGGCCTCACGTGTGATCCCGCCCACCCTCCCACACAAGGTGGAGGCTGTCAGTTTGTGCTTGAATGCTCCCAGCGATGGGAGACTCACTACATTTCCCTGGATAACTTCCCCCACCACAGCTTCCCTGCCTGGGTCTTTCCTTCCTAATATGCAGCTGAAGTCAGCCAGGACCCCTCTGGGCACCCCAACCCCACTGCCAGCCAACGTTATTGCTAAACACACATGTGCACACACACGTGCACACACAGGGTATCCGTCCTGGGGAGTGTGAGGTCACTGTGGGGGAGGACCAGATCCAGGCAGCAGGCCCACTGGTTGCACGTCCACTGGCAGCTCCCTGGCTCCCGTGTGCGCAGAGTCCCCGATAGGGAGATGCCCTGACCTCCATGCTTCCCTGAATGTCACCTGAACAAGGTTCCCTCGTCAGCCTTTCTAGGAACCAGCTTGTGACTCTGCAAACAGACTTTGTCTCGTGATCCCTGCTGACGTAATGCTGGCCTCGGCACCCACGCTGGCACCTCGGACCCCATTAGGAATGGCCCTGGCCACTGCAGGGGCTCCATGAGAACACAGCGCGGACGGCACGCGGGTGAACCATGCGCACGGCCATCCAGTAACTTCGAGGGGTTGGGGTGGTTCTCATGCATTTTTCGGTCAACAGACACAGAGGAGGATTGGTGCACGGGGCTGCTGGGTGACGGGGGCTCGAGAAAGGGCAGCTCCAGGGCCGAGGTGCCTGCAGCAGTGGAGGCCACGCTGGCTGGGCCTCTGAGTTCAAGAGAAACGGTCTAGACTTCTTTGTGGAATCTCCTGATTTTTAAATGCTGGCAAGTAAATTTTATTCTCATCTTTTGACCGTGGGTCAAACCAAATATGAAAACCGAGGTGAAGGCCGCCCACAGCCCCCTAGTTAGCACCTTCTGGCGGGGTGGATATTTTTGAGGTTAAAAAGTGGTCACTGACTCAATTTGGAAAAACAGCTGTCGAGCAGAGCCCTCTGCACACAACACTGGTTCTACTGGATTTTAATAAGTTTTAACCAGAAAAAGAAGAATGCAGATTTAAGCAAGACTTCTTTTCTGGGGAACTTCCCTGAGCCTTAAATGCACAGAATGGCCATGTCCACCAAGCAGCATTTCCCAAAAGCATCTGACTGCAAACCCCACCTACACATCCATGATCTTATTTGATTTTTTTTTAGTCTGTTGTGGAATTAAGAATTACCTTCTTTGGAAAAGACTGGCCTCAGCCACTCACGACCTGGGCAATGATCGCCAGCCCCTGGGGCAGAGCTCTTCATGGGGACCCTGTAAAACTTACGAACTGTCTGCCCTGAGAAGCCCACTCGGGGCCATGCCCAGGTCTGCTGGGCAGCACAGAGATCTCCTATTCTTTCCTGGGGGCCAGCTGTCCCCACCCCACCCAGGGCTCCGGGGCTCTGAGCCTGCGTCTCAGTGTGGCCCCTGCACCCAACGTGAACGCCCCTCCCCACCCAGTGCGGCCATATGATTTTCCGTGGTGATGGACATGTTCTGTCCCTCACTGGCCACGCCAGCCACTGGGCACTTGAATGTGCTGGCGTGATTGAGGAACCAACTTATAAACTTTACTTTAATTAATTCAGCTGTAAACAGGCACAGGTGGCTGCTGGCTATTGTCCTGGATGGTGTGGCTCTAGTGGATGGGGCCTTCTGAGGTTTCTCTGCCCCCTCTGACTGTCCCTCTGTCTGCCTGCCTTTCCTCACCTGGGTGGAATGGTGGGGCCCCTGTCCTCTGCCCACCCATCTCCCAGCTCTGCCTCTCCAGGGCTGTTTGAGGGCACTTAACTCATGGCTGCCCTGGCTGGACTTTCCACCTTCTACTTTCTCAGATCGGCCTTTCCCTGGCCACCACCTCCAGGAAGCCCCTTCAGAATCAACCTGTCCTTTTGGAGATCCCTCCCTACCTGTGCCCAGGTGGCACCACAGAGCACCACATCACACTCCAGCAACAGGGCACCTGGGGGCTGCCTGCATGCATGCTGAGGCGGGAGACCCTGTCCACTCCCCCAGATCCTGTCTTGCAAAAGGGCACTTGTCAGATCTGCCCCCACAGAACAGACAGCATGTCTCCACGTCCAGGCTCTGCCACTGGCCAGTGGCCATGTGACCCCTCTCGGAGCCCTGATTCCACTCCCGAAAGGGAGGGTGAGAACGACTGCCTCTTGGGGCTTGAGGTATACTGTAGGCACTCAAGACGTGATGGTTCTACACCTGCCAGTGCAGGTAGACATCCACTTGGGGCTCTTCAGGCCTGACCAGCCTTGCATGGGCCCCCTAACAGTCACAGAGCAGTAGGGTCCACTGCCTTGTCTCCGCACAGCAGCACAGCGGGGCTGGGGAAGAGCGATCAGAGGCCGTAAAAAGACAGTTTGAATTCCTCGCTGCAAAAGGACACTCGAAGCTCCAGCGAGAGCTGAGTGACTTGCTGACGTGAGTGACCTGCCGGAGTCTGGTTATACAGCACATCTTGTCCGCGACCCACGTCTGCTCTCGGCCCCAGTAGCAGCAGGCAGACATTCCCACCCCAGGCTCTGCAGCCTCCAGCAGATTGGGCACATCAAGAGGTGAGAGCCCCGGGGCGGCAGGGCCCAGCTGGGCAGGGAAGCAGCGGGAGGAGCCCCGAGGGCAGACAAGCAAGTGGCCAACAGCAGAGCCACCCATGGGGTGCCGGCCAGGCTCAGCCTCCCCAAACTCACCCCTCCTCACTCCACTCCTGGGCACCCGCCCCAAGCCAGGACTATTGCAATCAGAAACCTCCCAGCCTCTTCTCCAGCCCGGCCCTCCCCCTCACCTCGCCCGGGCTGCTCCAGCATCACTAAACCTCTCCGGGACCCGGCCCCCAGGCCTTCCCATCTCTGCACCTTTGCCTGTGCTGTGCCTTCTGCCTTTCTGTCCCTCCTCCACTCTCCCCGAGATCTGTCTCAGCCCCGTGGGCCTCCCTGACAGCCTGAGATGAAGGCTCGTCCCCTGAGGAGCTTGGCAGGGCCACACTACACCATTGTTTGCAGTGCCTGGGGGCAGGAGGACCTAGCCAAGTGCCTGCTTTAGAAGAGGTGGTTAATAAACAAATGAGCAGGGGCCGGCCCTGTGGCGTAGTGGTTAAGTTCGCGCAGCCCGCTTCATCAGCCCGAGCTTTGCCGGTTCGGATCCTGGGCGTGGACCTACTCACTGCACATCAAGCCATGCTGAGATGACGTCCCATATAGAAGAGCTACAACTCTACAACTATGATACACAACTATATGCTGGGACTTTGGGGAGAAAAAAGGAAAAAAAAAGGAAGATTGGCAACAGATGTTAGGCAGGGTCAACCTTCCTCAAAAAAAAAAAAAATAAGAATAAAAAAAATAAATGAGCAGATGAGGAATTGAAGGGAGAAGCACACAAATCTATCAGCAGCCTTGAGCTCTTCCCACCCTCATTTCTTCAATTTCCATCATCACCACCACCACCATCACCATCATCATCACCATCATCACCATCATCATCACCATCACCACCATCACCACCACCACCATCACCACCACCACCACCATCACCACCATCACCATTTCATCATCACCATCA